TTTTCTCCAGGCTGAACAATCCCAGCTCCCTCAGCTGCTCCTCATAGGACTTGCTCCAGACCCTTCACCAACCTCACTGTGCCTCTCTGGACTTGCTCCAGCACCTGTGTCCTTCTTGTAATGAGGGACCCAGCTCAACACAGGATTTGAAGCATGGCTTCACCAGTGCCGAGCACAAGGGGACAGTCCCTGCCCTGGTCCTACTGGCCACATTATTCCTGATACAGACCAGGATGCCATAGGCCATCTTGGCTACCTGTCTTGTTGCCAGAGGAGCAGAAATAAGGATGGTTGAAAGGGCCCTGCTGAGCATGGCCAAGCTGCTCAGGAGGCTCTGGGGTGCTGGGCAGAGGGTCCCAGGACACGATATGCCCCTCTGCGGACAGGGGATTTTGGCAGAAGGCTGCCCTGGATCGCATCTCCAATCGCAGCTTTCCCAGGTGTCTCCATGCCTGGATCCCATTCCTTATCCCAGCTTTCCCAGCTGTCTCCTGCCCCCTGGCGGCAGTGGCGCCTCCGGCCCCAGCCCCGCCCCGCTGTCCCCAGGCTCCCGCGGAGCTGCGCTTGAATAAGAGTGTCAGCGCAGGAGAAACTCAAGGGGAGTTTAACTGAAAAAAGATTTCCAGCGTTGCATCTGATATTGCACAAATGTGGCATTTTCCAAGACACATCTCTTGATTTATCAGATATGAATACAAACGTGAGAATAAACACAAGCATGCTGCTCTGCAAGAATTAATAAATCTTTCCCGTTCTTAAATAAACAGAAGTTTATCTTAAATGAAAACAAAGTTAAAAGCCAGTGAAACCCTCTGGCCCCTCAAGCATAAGTACACACTGTACCTTGGGTTTTCTTGGAGCAGTGGTTCAAGTAATAGCAACTTTAGGAAAAAATGTTCACACATTGCACCAAGCTCCTATTCCTACAGGAATAGTCTGGTGTTAGCCAGGCAATTGCTAGCATTTTGTAACATCATGCATGAAGATGGCCAGTTTGCAACCTTGGAGAAGGGCTTATGAACACAATTGAAATCAATAAGGAGGTCAAGGATGACACAGCTCTTTATTTGATGCTTTCTTTTATTTTGAAAATGCAAATGTGAGGATGAGGCAAAGGAGGAAAAGAATTTAGTTGTCTGGAGACCCTCATTATTCTGTGGGTATGATCTAAGTGAGCCTGAGGCCTTTATGGAGCTTTGGGGTAAAATCCCTGCCACCTGGGATTCTGCCATTTCCTTTACTTGAAGAGAAATTTCACCCGGCGCAACTTCAGGGCAACAGAGAGACCTTTGCACAATCTAAGTGTAGAAAACTGCAGACAGCAAGCACATGTGCACCTTATGGTATGGCAACCATAGGAACCACATGCACAGAAGGAAGACTCTTTACTATCCTCTTATTTCTAAGATTTTAGGTCATTTCAGGCTGATGGAGTCACACAAGTTGTCCCTTGCAGGAATGAGAAAAGGTTAGTCACACCTCTGCAGGCCACACTGTTGCCCTAGTATTTCCACAAGGCTTTTGAAGTAGGCTCCACACTACATCAGTTGCAGAGAGCCAGCTTATTTCATCTATGCCAGCCCCAGAGGAGTCTGTAATGTAAACTGAGTTCAATTAAGGGCTACTGACAAGAGCTGGTCAGAAAAATTGATTTCTTATAAATTCACATAATGGCAGCTTTTGAGCCCACATGAGGAAATTGAAGTTAGATCTGGAAACACTGATGGAGTGGTTGTTGTGGGTTATACAAAGTACATCCCATGCCTATCCTGTTTTATGGGTTGAATGACTACCCTGTTTAGGTGATGTTAATTAGGTGGCTGTGATGCCTGAAGAGAGATTAGGTAGAATTGGGGCACCTGGACATGGAGGAAAGTGAGTGTAAGACGCTGCTGAAGGACAACACCCATGAATTACAAAAAATTTGATTTAGACAACAGATAGTCTGTGGACACTTCTTTTTCTGTTATGTTTTGTTTTGTTGTTTGTTTGTTTTTTGCTTTGTTGTTTGTTTGTTTTTTTAATCTGACAGGTAAACAGACTAGAAAAAACCAGCCAGGAAAAATGGATAAAGGAAAGGTACCCCATCCCTGAGGGGACTCTACAGGGAAGAGGGATGTCCTTGGCACTGTGAGACCCACTATGTGTCCCACTCCCTTCCCCTCACCCCAAATGGTCTCTTGGCAACCAGCCTGCAGATTCCCACTGGCATATTTCAAAGCCTGTGAGAACACAGCCATACCTGTCTGGGCTGGAGCTGATCCCTGACCTTCTCTCAGTGCTGCTTGGTTTCCTCTGATAGCTGGGTGAATGATTGCCAGCACCAGTAAATGATTTACTCCATGTAAAGCACCGCCTGCTAGAGAGGCATATCTCTTGTTACACTGCAGAGAAAAAAATATTTCTATAGGACAGCAAAGATTATGAAATTAATTTATTATTTGAATAATAAATAAATAAATGTAAGGGTAGTGAAATAATTTTATGATTCTTTTTAACATGGGCAAAGATAAAGCTAGGAAAAGTGTTCTTATTTTCATAACTACAGAACATGTAGCTGTGTTCACAGCTGAAAATAATGTACATTTGGCAGTGCAACTTGATCCAGAATGCCAGCTACATACATAGGCAGCTCTGGTGTCTAGGAAAGCAAGCCTCCTGTTTGTTTTGTTATGTATTAGGGCATCTTTCCCTCATAACCAAAGCACTACTTGTTTTTCATGCATGTATCATTGCAGCCCCACAGAGCTGACTCCTACCATCTGGTCTCTGAAAGATGTGGGTTATACAGCCCAGAGGTGAGAAAAGCTGCATATGTTGCTGGAGCTGCCTGCTTTGCTGCAGGAGGCACTGGTTTATTAGTTCTCTAGATCTCTTTGCTAATAAATCCCAGTATCATAGGGACTTAAGGCAGACAACTTCACTGACTGTGTTGTAGGCCCTCACTCATACAGAATGGAATCTTCGGTGTATTATCTTTTAATTTCAGCTGGATTTCCTAGTTGTTAAAAAGCCAAGTATTTAAAAAGAAAAGATGGCATTTCTTTCTTCATGGTATCACTGGGAGTAGGAGGGTAGGCCATAGGCAACACAAGCCACTAATGCTTGGTGGGCCTAGTGGAAGCTGCCCTCAGAGCTTCTCATCACACCACTGCAGCATCTGGGCACTGAGGCACTCCAGGTGTAGGACAACCTTGAGAAACCAAGTAATGCAATTACTAAAAATCAGAGCAAGCTCTATACTCCTGTCAGAACTGGGAGAACTTTCTTACTCTTGACCTTATAACAAAGACAGCACTTTCCTGAATGGTGCATTTCTACCCCTTTTTTTTGAAAAATGGATGAAATTTACTCTCACTTCTCTTCCAATAGCTCTCAACTTCTGTGCTGAAGAAAATACTTCCTGCATCTCCTTCTGAGCTGACTTGAGTGCTGATAGTGAGACTGCTGGAAAATCACTGCTCAGCACAGCACAAATGAAGTTCTGCTGTAGTGACAAAAAGAGAGGATCATAGTGCCCAATTCTGCCATTACTTCTCTGCTATGCAAAACCTGTGGTGCTGATGACATAGGCTTGCAAGTAGTTCTTGCAAATTTTGTTTACAGCTCTCCTTTATTATGAATTTGGAATGAAATCCCAGCAGTGGGAATGAACATCAAGAGGATGTTAAGAGAGATCGTGAAACTCCACATGATTTGAGGTACCTTGCCTGAGATTTTTGCAACTTTCCTATAGTCACATTGTCTTATTGTTTTGATTTTAGCATCACAATCCATTCCCAAATATTTGCCAGCAATCAGTACTCAGATGAGGTTAAGTATCCCTCCTCACAGGACACCTCCCATGAATATCTTTTGAGAAATTGGTATTGGTTACAGTTTGATTACACGTGACAGCTGTGACAAAATCCCATTTGATGCAGTCCAATAAGAACTCATATGCTCCCATTCTCCATGAAACACATGTAATCCCCCTCATCCATTATTATCTTCAGTCCTTCAGATCTCAGAGATTTGTCTTCCTAACGTTCTCTTTTGTGGGGCCTAGAAGCTGCTCCAAGACTCAATCAAATGTGTGAGTTGTGTGCCCAAAACACACCGTCTTCGTTCCCGTCATGGGCTCGTGTCTGCTTAGACAATGAATTTGCTTTGGGGATGGCCAATGGGGTGATATGATGGGATATGTAAGAGATCTTTTTGTGGAGAAGTGCTTCTCCCGTGACCAAAATTTTGGGTGTCCATTCATTCCATGTGATGGGGAAGCATTCATTTTGGTTATCTGGCATCTTGGGGTGCATTTTGAGTCATGGAATAGGAAAGGATCAAGATGGATGGGTCCTGAGTACCACTGTTAGTCCAATGCCCAGAACAGCCTGCTTGGAAGCCAGAGCACAATTGCAATGAAGCACTCATTAGATGGCCATTAGGAAACATGCATTTGTTTAATGTTGAGAGTGATGAGAAACAAATAATGGCTTCCTTGTTAATAAGGTCATATTACCATCCTCATATGATACCTTTCTTAAAGGTGTCTCTTTTTTTGTCAACTGCAAAAGCAACTTTTTGCAAGCTTTTGGTACTTGAAGTGGCTAACACCATCAGTGTTGGGCAATGCTGGTCGGTCTATCCAGCGATCAGAGAGGATGATGATGATCTCCACCCCCATGAGGAAGGCAGGGCTCGTGGAACCCCGAGAACAGCAAGTTTTTTTCGCCGTGGTTGCATCTTGGCGGCTTCTGGGCCACGACGGCAGAGCGGCAGCGGGTGCGGGAGGGTGGCGGACGGCGAGAGGAGAAGCGCGAGGGTGAGTCCAGCCGAGCCGGGCCGGGCCGAGCGGGCCGGGCCGGGCCAGGCCGCGCTCCCTCCGCCGCTCTCCGCCAGCCCCAGCGGCCGGGGCTGCCGCCGGCGGCAGGCTTAGTCAGAGGAATGTGGGTGGGACTCCCTCCTCCCCGGCGCCTTAAAACCCCGCTCGGACCGGCACGCTCGCAGTCTCCCGTCCCGGCGGAGCGTCCCCGCCGCACCTCACCCGCGACGCCCGGACTCGCTGGGCGCGCCGCCGGCCGGGCACGATGGTGGTGTGCGGCCTCGCCTGCTGGAGGTGCAGGTGGCTCCTGCCCCTGCTGCTGGGCCTGGCAATCATCATGGGCATCATCGCCCTGGCGGGCCGGGGCTGGCTGGAGTCCGAGTCGGAGCCCTACGTGCAGCAAGCGTCGCTGTGGGAGAGTTGCACGCGGGGTGAGGAGGACCTCAACTGGAGCTGCGAGTCCCTCATGGATTACGGTGAGTGAGAAACCCTCCGAGGGACCCCGGGCAGTGGCATCGGGGCTGTTGACCTCTCCTAACTCTGTTGCGGAGCAGCTGCTTTCTGGAATGGAGCTTCCCTCCAGAACCAGTATCCATGCTGTTTTGGGGCTTAAACTAGCACCGAAACACAGGACTAGACTGCTCCAGAGCGATCTTTTTTTTTTTTTTTATCAGTACAACACTGAGAAGCCGGGGTGTTGATGTTTTCGGTTTTCCTGAAATTATATTACAACCAAAGTAAGATAGCAACTGGCTCCAAGTCTGTCTGCTTCCCCTGAACTCTCATCGGGCTGCGGTGCCGCAGCCTTACCTGGCACCAGGCAGCTCCCTCCCTGTGCCGCTGGCTTCCCCGGTGGGATGGCGAGTGTGGAAACCTTCATGCAGGGTGTCCCATGAAGAACCATGCCTGGACAGTAGTAAAACGTTATTTCCCTGACCCTTCGGGGGAGGAGAGCACCTCAATTTAACCCTCCTGGCCAGGGGAGTGCAGCTATTAAAATGCCTCCTGATCTACAGCTTAAAATGGTCTTATGGGGGTTCTCAGGCAGAAAAAAAAAAGTTCCTTCCTTTGTACCTCTCTGTGGCATTGGGGCCTAAATCAGGGATAAGTGTGTCTCTGTTTTAACTTGCTTAGCTGCTTCTGTATCTGGCATCGCCACTAACATTCTTACTGCACACTCTCAGTTTCTAGGTCTTTTGGGGGACTTTTTGTTTTATTGCTAGAACACGTGGGTCTGATTAAATCTACTTTTCCCTCAGACAAAATATTTCTGGACAAATAAGCAGACCCGCCTTAAGATCCTGGATGAGGGTTCTTTAGGGACTGGGGGGCTGGAAGGGCGTGTTTCAGCCGGGAGAGCTGGGACTGTTTCCCTGTGCAGATCCCTTGCTGCCTGAGCACGGCAGACTCACTTCCAGAAACTTTTTGTTGCAACACTCATGCACAAGCTAAATCCTCAATATGCTCTAAGAGAAGTGTCTTCATTTCTCAGCTGGGTGATGGTTTTGGGCTTTACTGCAGGTGGAAGAAATCTGGCTAGTGAAAATACCCATCTTCCCCATGAAACAGAGAAGAAAAGCTGGTGCAGAGTTGCTGAAATTTGCGTTGCACAGGGAAAAAGTGCTAATACAGTACAGCTGCTGGAATTTGTTTTCTCCTGTAGTGACACTGCTTCACACGTCCCTGAGTACTGATGGGTGTGTGCTTTGCGTCAGCCCTCAGCATTGTGGGACAAAAGTAATTTTCTGCAGTTTTTTTTTCCTAGTTAACAGGCTGACACAGAAGAACAATATCCTTGACTTCACTTGTTTAAACCTTGGCTTATTTAAACCAAAACTTATTTAAATCCTTGGCTTATTTATATGAATTTGCCTGCTCTCAAACTTTCGTAACATCAATGCCACTGTCTACTCAAATATTATTTACATCTAGAGACAGGATGTAACACATGAGTTCAGGTTTGATTTGTTTTGTTTTCTTTTCTTCTATGCTAATGCAATTACTGTCAAAATAGGTGAGGTCATTTACAAAGGAAAAAATGCCTAGCAGGCATTTATAGCACTGCTGCAAGAAAATAGAGGTTAACTAATTGAGATGCATAACTTGTGTTTTGCATACAATAATTACTGTGCTCTAACCATCCTGCACCTCTCCTGATGAAATGAAGACTTCAGAGCGGATCTCCATTAACAGAATGTTCCATTAGACAAATTCTTAATTGAGCTGTGGCATGTGTACGAGGAAGAGGAAGAAAAAAAGCAGACGAGTCACTTATTTTAAATGAGGGGAAAACACAAACAAAGATTTGCAAATAGGAATGTCTCCTAAACTGCATAGCTCCTTAATGAACATTTTCAAATACCACATGAGAGGGAAGAAGTGAAAGGGAAAAAGACAAGAGGGTTGTCATGTGGTAGGGAGGCAGGGAAGGGATTTTGTTTAGAGTTCTTTACTGGTTTGTGTCTGGGAAGTGCCCTGGCTGGCAGCGTCTGTGTATTATCAAAATGTTGCAATGCAGAAGTGCTGCAGTGCACTAGAATATGACTCAAGATGAGTTGGTCTAGACCATTGGAGGATTTAGCTGTTGACTGTGTTTAAAACATATCAGCAAGCCATCAGCTATGACAAAGATTATTTGCACTGTGTAATTTGGAAAGGATGATTGTCTTTAAAGTGATGAGATTGTAAATTTAGGAGCAATATTTATGGGTGGCTGTGCCCTCCTGGTTCTGAGTGACTGATCCCAGTGACTTTGCTTTGAATTAACTCTGTAAAAGATGGGCGTGTACATGTGCAGTAAAGGTAATCCCATTAGGTTAACTCTTTCCTATATTCCTAACAGCCAGTTGGTATTCATTACGTATACATCATACACAAGTATACATTAAATACATACCAGCCAACAAAGAAAAAGGGAAGCATTCTTCTGGGTCCTTAGTATTAAATAAATAAAAATTAAAAAAGAAAAGAAAAAATTAAAAAATAAAAAAAAAAATAGGAAAGAGAAAAGGTGGAACCTGGAAGTAGGAGCCCAGCCTTTGTGACTCATGTTTCACTGCATCTGTGCCACTGTACCTATGTCCCTAGAGGCATGGACTTTGATACCACAGATTATAGGCGAAACTGAGTGCATGTGGAGACTTTGCTGAGGGGCCAGGTAAATAAAGGAGGAATGCTAAGTGTATGCTTACCTTCTCAATACACCTCCTTTTAGGCATGCTGTTGTCTGATTTGCAAATGCCACGATGCATTCAAGACGAACTAACATCGTTTATAGTGTCAGGCAAGCGCAGGCACTCGGGAAATGCTAATGGGAAAGGTGTAGCAGTTGGTGTCCCTGCCTACACCCAGAAAACACTTACTGCAACTTCCTGGTAAAAGATCCCAGTGAAATGTGAGGCTGGTGTCTCTGCCAGTGCACTTTGCTGGCTTCTGTGCAGGCACACTTCTGCTGCTAACGATCCAGATACTAAAAGTTGGAAATGTGTAGGATTGTGCCTCTCCTCAGCTCTCAACAGAAGTCAAGTTTGTACTAGAAGGCTTGTATTTAATATTTTGGTAGTTTAGCAATTGCTTTTCCCACACTCCTAAAGCCAAAACAGATTGTGATTCACAGTATCAATTCCAACCTGCCCTCCCAGCAAACCTTTGATTCTGGGCTCCTTTATGCTCATGGTGGGTATGCACATAGCTTCCTCTCACCAGTCATGCTACCATGGAAGTTTGAACATTTTCTGAGCAAGAAAGTATTGCTGATACTGCTCTTTTGCTCACAGTCCACTACTCCTTTATTACATCAAAAGAGGGAGGTATTTTTGGACATTCTGTGTAATGGGCTCTTGAGGCCAAACAAAGATTGCTACTGCCACTTGTATACACAAGAATATTACAGCTACATTGCAGAAACGTGCCCAGTCTCTGGAGGTCGTAATAAAAACTTACATTTATTCACGAGCTAACAAAACTATCTTTGGCTTCTGGAAGTGAATGAACAAAGATGAGTCTTGTTACTTCAAATCCTGTAGCAGTTCATCTTCCTGCTAGACTATTTTCACAGCCCTTTTATTGATTTCTAAAGGGAAATCTAGATTTAAATATCTAAGCCTATAGAGATTCCACCTCCTCTCTGGTGATGCTGAGGCATGGCTAAATGAAATCAGGAAATGTACTAACACTAAGGCACTGTTGCTTGCTTTCTTTTAATTTCATCATATCACTGGTGCTCATCATTAACATTTAGTAATCATGACCCCTCCTAGTTATTTGCATGATAACATTTGCAGCTTAGTTCCTTCCCATAGTAATCATTAGTGTAATGTAATGCTATGTAATAAAACTCTTAATCCTTCCTAATAATTACAGACCTTCGGCTTCTGTACAGTTGTTTTTTAAATGTTCTTTCAACACCAACATAATTGATAAATACTTTTCTGCTGATTAGATGAAAAGAACTTGACTATTCTTTGAGGCCAAGCTGACCTGGAAACACTAATAGCCCCAACTATTTCTCTGCTTTTCTGCTCTCCTATTCTTCTGCCTTCTTATTTATGCAGCTCCAAATGGCTCTGGTGTTCTTGATTGATTGCATAAACATACATCATACTTAACGTTTATTTTGTACAAGAAATACTCTCTGCCAAATGAATGCATCTAAGAATTTTCTATTTTTATGGAAAAAGATTCTGGCTAAATGTCTTATGATTACAAGATACTTTTGAGCATAAACCAGGTAATCTGTCATTCTCTGACTGTGAGCAGGTCTCTCCAGCTCTTACAGCAGCAGTGAGAGGGCAAACCTGCACCTCTCCCCTCCTGGCAGCTGGGAGATGCAGTGAGAGGATCTTTTAGAAAGACAGGAGAGCTGAGTGCCTGTGGGGGCTTGATCAGCTCTCCGAAGCCTTTAGGAGGAAAAGGAGCAGGGAGAGCTTGACTTGATCAGTGTGGGGATGAGGGAGATCCTTCACAGAGGAACAGCAATTTCAGTTTTAGCTCTGCAGCAGCCCCTCTGCTGAAAACTCTCCCTGTCAGCAGGGGTGGCAACAGGTCATGTGGATAAGGAACATCCCAGGGCTGCATCCTATGCTCAGGAAAAGTACACCCTCCCACCCCAATCTCTCCCATCAGTCACTTATTAAAAGTCTTATATATACACACAATGTAAGAGAAATCTCAAAAATTAACCGTAAGTCCAGACATTTTTGCTGCTCTTCCTGTGATTCCCACAGGGGATCAAGTGTCTGGGCTGATAGTTCTGTGGCTGACTACACTCATCCAGCCCAGAGCACACCCATCTAGTGCTTTGGCCAGCACCTATGACTCAGTCTTATCAGGTCTTGTCAGCATCAACCTGCTGCTAACTGCTGTTGGAAAGAATAATCCAGCAGAAGAAAGAGTGGAAGGTACTGGATCACCAGCACTGAGCTCTGTCACACGTGAGCACAAAACTCACTGAGTTTCATAATGATGGTACCCACTGCTGCCTTGTTTCTGAAGACCTGAAGCAAAGCTGAGCTTGATATTAATCTTCCTGACAAGATATCTCCTGCTATATGTGTTGTCATTTTCTTATTGCCAGAGACAAGAAAATAAATCAGTGTGAGCAGAGCCAGGGCTAACCTGTATTCAAAAGCTTATTACACTTCTAAAGAGAGTACAGATAATAAAGAGAGTACAGAGATATTAAAATGGCAGAGAGAGCGCTGTGGGCATTCTGCCTTGTACTCCTCCAGTTGTGTTTGTGTTGCACTAGACCTCAAGTTGTCTAATGTGCAGGTGTATTTGAGTTTACAACCTAAATTTTAACAAAGATGCCAGATTTGTCTTCTTACACCTTGTCAGCATAAATAACACATCTGAAAGGGAATATGCTATGGTAACTAAGCATTCCTTCGTGTTGTGCTTTTTTTTCTTAATAGGGAAAATATTGATATAAAGCTTGCCTAGATCATCTAGTCTGAGTGGGTTTTCATGGGCTGGCTGTGAGTAATGGTTACATATCCCTTTGTATTAGTTATCACTAAAGAAATCCTATTATGGAGACAATATTCAATACCTGCCTTAGGTATGACAGAGAATATTTTGTATGAAAAGATTTTATCAAACTATTGACGTAGCTCTAATCTCCAGACACTCATTAGTCTCCTCCCTGCTTCTTCCCCATAGCATTCCCTCGGGGAAGGGGTATGAGACATGCACAACTAGCTGAAGAAGAAATTTGAGAAGTTTTTGCTATCTTGAGTAGCTCCAGGAAGGGAGAGGGTAAAGAAGAACCTTTTTCTTATCTTTTCTGTGTCAGTTTTATTGTCTTCAGGTGGCAGTGGTGGTTGGGAGTTTTGGCAGAGATATGGCTGATGGATACCTGCTGTATTTTACTTTTGCTGTTGGATTAGAGGAGAAATAAACTAGTTCAAACAAATCTAATTAAAATAACTGTAAAACAAAATTTCACTTTCAGATAGCAAATTGCAGAGGAAGAATGGAGACTACGTTAAAAGCAGTGTATCTCCAAGGTCACTTCAACTGTGTTGGAATGGACAGCTCTGATGAAACAGTTTTTTGTTTTTTTTTTAATGTTCTGACCTAGATCTCACTGGCCTCTTTATTCCTACATTAGAGGGAGCTCAGGATCTGGCCCTACCTCTGTCTGTATGTGTCAAAGTAGAAACCCACAATATGTAGATGTGGGAATTGAACTGTGATGACAGCTGACTGGAAAACAAAGCACTAACCAGTATGGTTTAGCCCTTGTGGGCAGGTATCCTGCTTCCAGGGCAGGAACACCTTTGCTTGTAGCTATTTGCACTGGGCTCACCTAAATTACTTGGTTTCTGAAGAGGACAAGGTGTGTGAGGGCCTTTTCACAAGACTGTGTTACTGCCAAAGTAGAATTGCTGGCTGTTTTTCTAGGTTTTCCTGCTATTGTTGCCATGCCCCTGGCCCATGGTGGGTGATTTCTGGATGCTGGTGCCGCTCTGTCAGAGTACAGCCACTTGCTTTGTGCCCGAGCCTCTCCAGCATGCTGTAGCTTGGTACTAAGTAGCTTCATACACTCTGTTCCAGCAAATGTTAAAGTAATGATTCAAAGAGGACTCATCAACTTTTGCCTCAGATTTTGTTGTTTCTCCTCCACCTGCTACATTTTAGCTGTGAATAGATACTTATTTTCAAGAACTTTCTTTTTGTCATCTTTTCTGTTATTGTGGGTTTATTTCTTTTTGGTCATTCTTATTTCGCTCCACATACTCTATTCTTGCCATAAACAAACAGAAGTTTTATGCAGACAGCACTGTTATTTCCCAGCAGTTATCTCCTGTGGTGGTACCCTCTTGTCTGCTTTCACACTTCCCTGTGCATGAAAGTGGTTTTGTAAACTTGCATATCGAACAGGAGCTGTAATGATAAAGGGCATTGTCAGCAGTTGTGTGCCCTATCTGCTCAGATGTCTGTGGGTGTCCTACAGATACAGAGTTTGAAGGTATTATCTCTATTCTGTGCTGCATTCTATACCCCTCTTCAGCAAGACAAGTTAGCAGATAGGGAGTCCTGTGCTGCTCCAGCAGTGATGGTGGCCCCCTGCTCTCCAGCTGTGCTTTGCAGGCATTCAGTATTGCTTTGACATAAGGACATGCTTCTTACAGTAAAGGGTTTCAATAAAAAAAAAATTATTAAAGGAAACCAAAGAGCTCCAGTATAGGAGGGTACTGCTGTGTGTAATACCTTTCTTGTTTTATCTTCAAGGGTGGGGGAGAGCAGCAGCTGCCACATATCTCGTTGGCTTTGTGATCCTGGTCATCTGTTTCGCCCTTGCAGTCATCGCGTTCTCGATCGAGATCCTGCGCTTCAACTTTGTGCGAGGAATTGGAGGCCTGCTCTTTGTTGTTGGTAAGGCTGGGCACAAAGACAAGGTTATTTCAGATGTGAAACAGGCATCAGCAGAAAAACATGCTAGATGGAGCCTCCCTTACAAAATTAGCTGTCTTTGGTTTATGACTCATTTTCATGGGGAACAAGGGAAGGTTGAGTTGTGCTCTGAAAGTATAATGGGTAGGGAAGCTCAAGTGTCCTTTGTCAGCTCTCACTTTCCCAAAAGCACTATATGGGGACACCCAACATGACCCTGCATGTCATATGCTAAGACTTAAGAGCTGAGAGGCCTGGGTGCTTCCCAGCTTTCTGATGGGAGGAGGAGGAACAGGGCTCTGGGAGGTAACTGGCTCGGCAGGGCTCCCGGTGCTGGCTGTGGGACAGGACTGGTCACGGCGTGCAGGTATGTGCCTTAGCAACCTGGCAGTGGCAGCTGAAATGCTGCAGCCACATAGGCGTGGGGATCTGCCTGGGACAGAAGTCACGTACCTCTGTAACAATGCAGATTTGATTGCAGGTCTGAAGATAATCCTTACATATCTGAAGTATGCACTTATCTCCAGGTACCTTTTCTTAATGGGAACCGTAATATGTTCATTCTAACTTACTCCTGGTTTTCTTTCTTTTCTCTCTCTAGCTGCATTCCAGATCATTGGCTTGGTCATTTACCCAGTGAAATTCACAGAAGAAATTCCACTGACAGGAGATAACATGTTCAGCTGGGCCTATGGCTTTGGCTGGGCCAGCACTGTTGTTGTAATAGGTTGTGCTTTCTTCTTCTGCTGCCTCCCCAACTGGGAAGATGAAGTCCTGGGAAACATCAAGCCTACCTATTACTACTCCTCCCCAGAGAGAGCACCATACTTAAATTGAAAGATTAAGTCCAAGTACAGACAACTGTCAAAACAGAGGAGCACCTCTGATGTACATTTGGTGTGATTGTAGGAGACTGAAAAAACTCACCTACTTTTGCCAGCATATATCTTACTGTGCCTGGCAACAAATTAGGAAAAATATTGGCATCTTAAGCCAAATAGCTTTTACCCAAAGTATTATTTACATATTCTCATGTCAATTCAGTTTAGGTGGTTTACTTGCTCCTTCCCCTCCCAATTAGTTGAGTCATCCTTATTTTATTCAAATATTTTCTTATGAATATAGATGATAGTGTTTCAAGTGGAGAAAGGAAAAGGATAGATTTTAAACAACCCATTAGTGGGTACTGTGAGATAGGTTGCTTTTATTTCATATCTGACAAAATTGCTTTAAATGGAGCTAGGAGAAAACACAGCCTTCCAAGGAATGTTTTTTCTTCTGTAAAAGCCAGTCCCAAGGAAGAAATTTCTGTGATACTATCACAGTCACCTGCTGCATAAAAATCTGTTCTTATTCCTGTTACTGGACTGTTGTTGACTATTAACTATTTGAATTAAGAGGAAAATAAAATTAAAATTTATTTTCCACCAATTGGTGCTATTGGACAAGGCCTCTTCCAAAGCATGGAGCTGGTGTGTATGACATAACAGCTAATGTAATATTGGTGAGTTTGTGGCCACAGCAGAACTTGTGATGGAATCACATGTATATGTTGTCATGGATTCAGACATTAAACTACATACATTTTTACATGGAATATGAGGGATGCTGACTTAGAATGTATCTTTGGGCAGAAACATGAACTATTATATTTGTCTACCTTTGTAAAGTTTAAGTGTGCTTTTCATGGAAATCTTAGCATTAGGTGTTTAAAAACCTCCCAAATTTCTAACACTGGAGGTACCTCAGAGTTTAGTAAACTTGGGACTGCCTTGTGAGTGAGTAGGGGTAACAGGTAGAAATAGAAAGAAAGTTCTGTGAGCAATTTACATATGTAAACTTCATACAGACATCAGAGTAATCTGTCTGGCTCCTCATTTGTGTTTCTGCATCCAAATAAGTATTCCAGAGAGGCATAGCCATGTCTGTGTTGGTCATGGACCTGCAGCATCTTACAGCAGATTTAATTATGGTCTATAATCTTTGTCAGGGCTTTGTTCAGCTGGGAAAGAAGGAAGTTCATTTTTTGAACTCTTCCAGCTACGGGAGAAGCAGCTTTAGCAAAGACAGACTGAGGAGGATATAGGTGGGGTAGAAAGCAAATGCTGCATGTTGCTCTGTGTTATTTCTTACTCTCAGAACCTGGTACTTAGGAGAGGGTAAGTGTGTGGGTATGTGTATTCATGCACATGTGCAAAATAGAATTTAGAAAGCATTAACTGTCGCTCTATTAGGAACGGCTGGGATCGAGCAACACAGACTCTCATGGAGTCGATTAGGAGAATATCTCGTAGTTTATTACTTTAGCTTTGTTTTATAGACTGATACATGGAAAGTACAGAAAGGAAACTCTCATTGGTCAGCAAATCACTACATTACCATCATTGGTCAGTGGTACACACCACCCCCTGACTTTCTCCTGCAAAGAAAACAAGGGACAGACAAACAGCACCTGGTAAGGCTGTTTTCTGTCTCTGAGAATTGTTTTGAATCCTCCTTAAAACTTCCTAGGCTATTTTCTCAGGCTGGACTTGAGAAAGCTATGCGGCCTGCAATTTCTGCAGGCTTCCTACTGCCTGCTCCAGAGCTAGCATCCACACATTAACCAACAGACTGTAAAGCTAAAGTAATTTACAACTGATCTTTTGCAATGCCCTGTATTTCTTGTATCATATATTGTATAGCTTTCCATTTTGTAACACCTTTTTAAATTTGATAATGCTATATATTGCATGTGATCCTGTTTTAGAGAGGCCAGGTGATTCCTGAAGGTCCCTTCTAGGCCTGTATTTTATAACTTTACAGAGCATAAATGTCTGCAGACTTCAGAATTGTGTTACGAGCTCAGTTGCAGCATATACAATCAACTGTATTTGTGATTCCTGCTGAATAAGACAGTTCTGTGACAAATGTATCCTTTTAACATTTTTTTTCCCTTTTCTGTACAGTAATGGCTAGTGGGGAATACTGTGTGGGCTTACTTTATCATAAGTAATGATAGTACCTACTTCTAGTGAATTCTATGCACAGCAGAGAATCTCAAATCAGGAAAATCCTTGCACAAATAAAGCTGAAAAGGAGAAAAAAATGTAAGAAAATGGACACCTTTCCTAATGACAGGGAGGATGGCATGGTAATATGGTAATCATGTTTAGCATAATTTAAGTCTTTTGTAAGCTCTTTTATAAGCACTGGCATAAGTTGTGCTAAAAGAGCACTAATGTAAAATAAACTTGGCTCTGAATGTACTGGGAGGGGTAAAAGCATAACCAGCATGTTACACAACTAAGATGTTCCAGAGAAAGCTATTGCAAATAGTTATTAATTACTTTCAAGTGATACTAATGTATGTGACACTCGTTTCAAATGTGGTGGCTTAATTAAAAATGTTTTAACTGATGGTTGTAGAAACTTGGTGGTGTTTGTGGTTTGTATATTAAGTTTGTAAAATCAAACAAATAAGCCATTATTTTATTCTCTTAACTTGAATATCAGTATCCATAAAATGTTGGATTAATAAAATGAAGTTAAATACCTTATGTCCAGGAGGCAGCAATTTCATTTTCCAGTCAAATAAGCTTCAGTATACACTACAAAACATGTCTGTGCAGTTTCATTGAAGTCCCAGGCATAGAATGTTCTTTCCTAAGCCAAAACCTTTTAAGTGCATCACAGCTTAAGGGGGAACTCTAAACATTTTAAATACACAACAGTCTACAGGAGGTCTTGTGTAGGAAGTCTCTTCTTTAACAAAACTGTTCCAAGTGCCTTTCCTACAATGATCAAGAAATTCAAATAGTGAAAAAAGATGGTGTACTTGCCTGCTAAGATGGTGTACTACTGCCACTATATATAGTGCAGTGAAGGCTGCACTTTTCCCATGATTAGAAACCTTCCCACTTCTAACCTCAGTTTATGCATGACCCATATTATAATCCTGTCCTAGTGGCATTTTTAAAGAGGGCAAATCAGTCAGTCACTGCTGTCCTACACCAACCTGTGGCTTCTGATTTCTGGAAAGACAGGTTCATCATTCAGCTGTTAATTTTATTTTTTTTTTTAAATCTGTCCTCTTCCCTAAATGTCTTAATTTTGAAATTCATTTAGTACCCTGAATTTTGGTGTCTTGCATGTGTTTCTTGGGTTTTGGTTCCATGTCTCCCCCTTTTTAATTACTTCTAATTTTAAATAAACAAATAGGAAAAATATTTTGGTTTCTTTTAGATTTTCCTAAATTCTCTCAAGATAATTGCTGGGTTTCTATAATGCCCTTCTTTCATCAGGAAGAAAATCTGTACTCCTGTTTACCTACCAGTCTGTATTAAGCTGCAACCTAAATCTGTGCGCATTGAAATCACCTGAATATCTCCAGTGAGCTTCAGGCTGTAGGGTTGTTCCTTCTAATCCAGCTCGTGAGAAGAGAGAGCAGTTCAGAGGAATCTGAGAAGTTGGCCCTTGTCTCAGGAGAAGTTATGAGCAATTAAAAACGTGCATGACTGAGTGCCAGGAAAGACTAATTGACCTGAATGGGATGATTAATGCTTAAATCTCACGGCTATGGGAAACAGCTGCCACACCCCACTGGGATTTGGTATTTTTAGTTGACACAACAAGTGACTAATTTTTCAGACAATTCATTGACAAGATAGAATTCTAAGATTATTCACCTGACCTTTCCATCCTGCATAGAAGGGCTTTAGGACATAGAATGCATACATAAATCAAGGGAGTGTAGTAACAGCTCATTTGGGAGGGGGGAGGATTGTTATGGTGATAAGCGATCCAGAAACAAAAACAACTGCATGCTAAGAGAAAATGTTGCACACATACACACACAAAGAAAGTTGCTGAGATCATTGGGCACTTACAAAGTAGTGATAAACCAAGCACACATATCTATGGAAATCAAAATGCTTCAGGGGTTGCACAGCATTTGAGAGCTGAGGTACTGGTCCTACAACTCAGAGCAGTGGGGGTTACTGGCAATATGGAGCAGAACCCTGAAAAAACAGGTTAATCTGTGCCAATAGGTGAAGTAGCACAGGTTTTTAAATGGACTTGGGAGATGATACAACCAGAATAAAGTTTAATTAAATCTGGAGGATGCATTTTTCAAAAATAAGGATGCTGAGTTTCTAAATTTGATTCCTGTAACAGGTGTCAGAACAGGAATAGTGAAATCCTTATGCAGGGGGTTCACAGAACCTGGTAAATGGCAGTGTTACTGCACAGGTGCAGCAGTTTTTATGTGTAGATCCCATTTCATGCACATGTGCTGTGTATTTATGAGATAATTCCAATGACTCCATGATGCAGGTCTGCACTGGTACAGTAAGCAGCCTTTTGTCTGGGATTTCCTGGTGTCCTAAGGTGTGGGCAAAGCTGCACCAGCTATGAAGCTCGACATCTACAAACTCCAGGCAAAAATCCAGTGCCCTCAAATTTCCCTTACGTAAAATTACACTTAAATTACTTGAGAATTGTTAGAATAATCCAAAGGATTTTTGAATGCAGAAATTTAATAAGGCTGTATTTATAATAAAGACTGTAGAAGAACACATAAAGACATGCCTGGAGCTTTATAATATAAATATTACAACTATAAACAATAGTAATACAGTAATAGTTACTATAGCAATAAACAAGATAAATAAGTGTGATAAGAACTATGCATTATATAATATAATTAATAAAGAGAAATTAATTATATTCCTCTGAAAGAGTTCATCTTTGCAGGATTGAATAATACAAGAAGAGTTGGTATGGCTGCTGCTTTTTATTTATTCATAATAAACGGAAAAAAAGTAAAAATAAAGTAACGGGAACAACACATGGTAATTTTCACAGTCTTTTGTGAACATAAAATATTTTATAAGCATCAGAGTTTGCTAAGACTCAAGGTGATACATTGGAAATCAATGTTCACTGAGTTTGAGAGAGCCCAGAAAGGTTTGGAGTGAGCACTCGGATGAAACTGAACGTTAAAGTGAGGCAAGTCCTGCCCTACAGTGTGCTGCCCTGGGAAATGATCATGAATAGAAGTAGGCTGCTTTGATGGTCGCAATCTTGAATGTGCACGGAGGTATGTGATAGGGGAAGGAGCTGACCTGTGGCCATTACAGTCCCTTTTCAGGAAATAACCTATTTTTAAGCTCTTTTTGTGTTAGCAATCCTTTACAACAGTAAATAAGAATGAAAAAAAAATAAAATAGGTGAATTGTTATACATGAAAATTCTGACTTGAAATAGAAAGACAAAACAACTTGCAAAACAAAACTTGGGAAAATCATAATTGGCATTTAGTAGTAAGACAATAAGTTGTAAATGTTGCTAATTTTAATTTTAGCCCTCTTGTCAACTCAGTTTCACATCAAATATTTAAAACTGAAGACATCATTTCCATGTAACACGTGAGTTTCAGCAAAATCCCTCTTTTGGCTGGAGAATCTCAAAATGAAAATTCCTCGCTGAAATCCCTTAAGACATGCTTAGTGTGCATGTCATATCTGTAAATCTCAGAGTGTTTAAACAAGTAGCTATTCCCAACTGACCCATAAGGCAGAGCAGATAAAAGCCATTTTTTTGAAAGAGAACTGTAAGTAACAAGGCTGTGGCACCTGGGAATTACCTAAGTGAAGCTGATTTTATTCCTCTCCTAAGGCAACTGAGCTTTATGCTTTACCAAGAGTTATTGTTATGATGCACTACAACATGACAAGTATTTAGTTAGCTTACCTATGCCACAGAGAAGTTCTGAAGCCCAAAGCAAGTAGCTTAAATAAAATTATCCCATATGTAGTACAGGACTGCACTGTACCACTCTAACTGCTTACCCATGGGTTCATAAAATCCCTGTACGCAACATGCTGTGATTCTTTCATTCTATGATTCTGCTTGCTCACCAGAGAGCTTTTGCTCCTGACAGTCACTCTAGGAAAATACAGACACTCACAATGGTTACAAGTGTCCAGAGGCCATCTCAATTCCTAGCAGTATAGTTGGATTACAGGACACCCTTGATTTCAGCCTTTTGCCTGGAGAACGGGGAGTTGACTGAACTGATTAAACTTCTACAGAGCCTCTGTAGGAAATACCTGGGGATTTAACCTTGTTCCAATATAGAGCTTATCATATCCTTAAGAAAAAATAGCTGACAATTAAATCCATGTTCAGGCACACAGAGTCTTTGTACCTTCCTAATCTTGTGTTTTCCTTATTTGTATTTTCCCAATAGTCTTGAATTGCTCACATAAATGACAGTCCTGGATACCACCCCATGTTAGCAACTCAGGTGTTAAAACTTACTGGTTTGCACATATAGCCTTGCTAAGGAGAGGAAGAAAGCCCTTTTAAGCGTAAGCCTTTGTCCTGTCAAGGCAAGCCT